GCAGTGATGGGGAGTCTGAGGGCGAAGTTGGACTACTGGTGAGGGTGTGATAGCACTAAGGTGTTTCCCTTGGGTGACTAGCAGTCTCACGCTAATCATGCCTTCCCTATGGTAATGGGTAAGCCAGGATGGTTAGATGAAGTCGGCCCTAAAAACAGCACATTGCCGCCCCCTCGTGGCACGCCATTGTCTACAACAGGGATTCATAGTTGGATTCAAAAACAGAATGTCAAAATTGCCAGAAGGCCTTTTGTGACTGATCTTAAGCAGATGTCCCTTGGGCTCTGCGGTCACACACTATCCCTTCTTTTTCAGACACCCTAACAAGAACTAGCCCTCCACGATGTTGGCAGCTGGGAAGTGTCAAGCGCTTGCACGCTTCCAGTCTGTCTGTTTGTGCTCATATTTCCTATTGATTGCTCTAAATAAAAGCATGTGTATATGTAAAGCATGTCGGTCTTAGGTGAACGATGTTTGTTTATCTAATTATCATTCATTTGATGCGGTTATAGAGTTGTACCAACTGAGATTTCTGCGTCATGTGCCTCTGTTATGCTTACAAGAATATATGTGTTACTTCGAAGTGAATCCAACCTGACTGCGAACGATTCATTTCATTTTAGTCTTTATAAAATAGTGATAAAACAGGCTTTTGACCACAGGATTCTTCGATCACAGAAGACTATTTATGGGAACAGAGTCATAGTTTACATTCATTTTCTGTGTCTTTGAAGTAAATAGAATAAGGAGCTCGTTTCCGTCGTTAGGGAAAACAGTCTAAAAAGAGCGACATAAAGGGAGATAATAACTCCATTTTCGTTTGCTTGTTACTTGTATCACACAGCAAAACAGTATTAATTAGTAGATAACTTTTCAGATGCAGTTTATTTTTCGTCATGGTGTCATGAACTAAGATATGATTATCCCGTACCATACTGACTACCTGACAAAATCAATGTAAAATGTAGCACACAGGTGCATCGACTCAAGTCGCCACATTTCACAGGAGTACACAAAGAACCGGTGGATAGAAAAGGAGTGATATCAAAGTAGATAAAGTTGTGTGAGAGAATAAACAATCTGATGACACCTGATAGCGCAATTATACAAGCTTTAGATGTCCAAGAGTAGGACATATATGCGTAAATGTGAGCAATTTCCAGCTATCTCACCAAGAGTCCTCAACCACTGGTGCTCATCGTCTAGGAGACCCCAGCCAGTTACTCTACACCTCATAAAAAGTAGAACTAACAATCAGAGACCTCATCAACTGGTGCCACGTTTTGTTTTGGCCATCCTAAACTCTCTTCCATCCGAATTTATTAGTACGTCTATGATGAAGTTAAACAGGAACGGTGACACTAGTCATCACTGGTGGATACAACTAGTTGTCGTCAATTCTTAAGATAACTCTCCATAAGCCGTTACACGGCTGCGTGACTTTGAATTGAGAGCTTTGGTAAGCATTACATACCTACTTGGTTCTTTCTTCACAGTTTGGTACTGCAACAACACCTCGCGATTGACAGAGTTAAATGCTGCTATACTATAGCGCCCATGTTCTACTCTTTGAGTTAAAAATGTTTGTTGCATGGTAGACAAAATAGCGCAGAAGATGGAAATTCAAGGGATACAAGGTGAGTTGCAAAACAGTGCAAATATTAACAGTCATTTTCAGACTAAGTTATCCCCTATAATAACAGGTCAAGACACTGTCTGCTACAGAAAACGATGTTAACTGACAAAGAAATAGGTTGGAGGGAGATTCAGCGTGATTACTTCAAAACACGGGTCTGATAATATGTGAAATCAACAGGTATTTGACTTCTATCTGTAGACTTCGCAAAGTACTCATCTTGGTGACTTGCAATGGAATCCAAGCCGTGCGTTTCGTCCTATTTTGAGACTCGTCGGTCGGATGTACTTGCATCCCAGTGAGTGATTTTGTTGTCACTGAGGCTAGAACCCAGTATCTATCGCTTCTAACGCCATAGTGTTTCCCACTGGGGTATAGAAGCTCATCTGCCAACAGTGGTTGAGCAATTCGACCCGGTGTAGCAACAGATAATTACAAGTATCAAACACGTAAAAAGTACTGTTTTCTTATTCTAGATCACTATAATGTAATATAGGTGAAGACATGTTTAAGGAGTTGTTTGTAGCGCATTGATGTAAGGCATTTAGGAAAAAGTATGAGAAGTCTTTTTACAGTTCTGATTCCAATATTTTATAGCTTTCATAATTCTTTAAGAAAGGTGCTATTCATCTATGACCATTTATTGACATTTTTCTGGTGACCACTGGTTTTAAACACCAGTATTATTACAAATGCTATAAGAAGCAAATAACTCTGATACCAAACAGTAATCATCACCACAATCTAGATGTTTGTTCTCCCAGTTAAGCTTAAATGGAAGCTGGAAAGTGAGACTACAACTCGGTGTATTTGATGTCAGCTTCCGATCACTGTGTTACCGATTTAAACCCACTTCTACCTCACTATTACGTAACCGGTTAGGTAATATCCTAAGTCTTAATGCAACAGATGTGTCTCATTGACATGTAATGAAACTTCTAGTTAATTATGCAGTGCTGTGGTTAGTGAAGGAGTCAATTTAATGCATGTACGTAGGCCATATTAATTTCGAAGAAGCATTTTATAATCCGATTAGTTGAAATTTCACTCGAAATTAGTTACACCGATATTGTTTTCCTTCTGAAATGAGATTTGCATTTGACCTAGGTTTCTTGCTTGTTGGGATTCGTCAGCAAGGCGTATCGAAACCTCGAGGGAACTCATCTCTCCTCGGAGATTCGAACCTGCGTCGTTTATTACTGCAATCGTAGACGTTGGTACTGGGCTATTCGGACCGTTGCCGATCTATAGAACTGAACTAGATGCACTAATTAGTCACTGGATAGCAACCAATTTTATGTTGTTTAATACTGAGTGTTAACTGAATTCTGTCAATCATTTTGCAATGTGACTACCAAGCTAGGTGAATCACCATCGCGGTGCCGTCTAACCGTAGCAATAGGTAACTTGAGTACGATCTCCAGAGAAATATCAGTCCTCCTGACACTACAGATGTTCCTTTCTGACGATATTACTTGAAATAGATTACTCTTCAGTGGTTTTCATGTAATCTAATGAGTCATTACTACAATATTGGTTTTTTCTATTTCAAAATTAGTTGTATGCAAACATTAAAATTTACTTGAGTTCTAGACGATACTACTGTATTGTTTGTCAGAAATTAGTTGTTTATGCAAATGCTTAGACTGGATTAATTCAGCCTTAATTTCTGCATAAAATGACTTCTATTTTGCATAAGCTAATTCAGATATAAAGTAGTATCAAGGTTATGTGCTATTATTTGCTCATGATTCAACTGGCTATGTAAACGCCTGTGGTTCTAAGCTCTCTATGTAGGTTTGTTTTCTTTTCTCTGATGGAATGAAACAGTCTGAGATTTAATGAAACACTTGTGTTGTTCACATTTTCTACTTTCTTTTTTATTTTCATCTGAGATTTGATTTTTTGCATTTCCACTAACAAAGTAATTAATGGTTTAAGAGTATTGATGATATAGTCTGAAGTTGGTACCATTGGCGCAAATGTGTACAGTGTTTATCATTTTCAAAGTCTTGAATACTTGCATTAATCTTCATCAATTCATTCTTTTTCTTCTTCTCATATACTCTTACATACTGTTATATTTAATTTTTTTTTCTACTCACCTGTTTTTGTATGCTGCTATTAAGTGTTACAAGTTAAATGGACATCATTCTGCGGCTAGGTTATACTTCAATATGCATGTCCGAATTAATAATTAAACTTGGTTCATCCTTTGTTCCGCTTGTAGAAGACTTGCTTCTGTATTTCATTTAACGTGTCACCTTCCTCTGGGTGTTTTTTCCCCAACCTTTTTATGCATTAAAATGAGTTGGGCATCCGAGGGTGACATGGAGGAGATCATGTGAGGATGAAATGAAAACTTCTGGGCAGTTGTGAAGCAAGGTTCAAAAGATTGCAGAGAACAGAGTGCAATGGAGGCGTGCTACTGAAGCCCTGTGTTCCACTAGGAACAATAATAATGCATTAAAATATTATACGGGAATGAAAGTCTAGAGTTTTGGAGTTGCTCAAATCAAAAAATGACTAATGTTTCTTTTTGTTAGTAAACTCTAGTTATTCTAGAAAACATTCACTATCAATATGCATTTAATGAGAATCTAATGACTGTGTGCACTTTTATTTTTATTCAAATCGCTTTGGATGTAATCACTGAGGTAATGCTCACACGATGCATATTTTAAAGGGATACAGTACAAGACTATTCTCTTTTCTTGAATATCCTATTCTTTTATTATTATTGGTCGAATATCCACTAGAAGTGAGGGACTAATGGGGAAATCTTTCATCCTGTTGCAGAATGTTATAGTATATTGTCATTTGTTCGCCTTTTAATAGTAATGTAAAATATAATTTCAGTTCCGAATGATGTCCTTTTTTGAGGGAGTTGTGGGGATTTAGAAATATTTCAAGTTGTTATTCATCGTAGACTGACATCAGTTAGAGGAACAAAGGAAACCTGGGAGCAATGGACAGCTGTTTTGTCCTAGTATGGGACTCCTCATCAGTGTCCTCAGCAGGTCGCGGGTGCGCACTGCTAAGGAGTCCCATACTAGGACGAAACAGCTGTTCATTGCTCCCAGGTTTCCTTTGTCCCTCCAACTGATGTCAGTCTACTATGAATAACAACTTGATATCTTTTTTGTTATTATCTATTATCTCACATTCTTGAAATTAACGATTAAAAATTGGTGAATTAAGCGAATAATTCACTTGGTATGTTTTATGTGAAGTTGTTGAGTTTTAATTCCTCTACTGCTCTTTAGTTTGACTAGTATTTTATCATTGAATACTGTAAGCTGAAATATTTTACTGGTGATTTATTTTAATTTATCTTTATCTATAATTTTTCAAATTTATTTAGATGTGTACAGCTTTTGGAACGGTCACAAGTCAATACTGATTATCTTTTGAGTCTATTGGATGTGCTAAAGAAATCATATAACTATCTAGAAAAATCAACGTTAAATAAAATATGCCCAACTAACAATATGGTTAGATCCGTTGGTGAAATGAATGAAATAGATTTAAATTCAATTTCACCTACTGAAAAGCGTTATCATCGACCTTCTGAGGAAAATCGTTCAGTTGTTTCTGTGATCAATTCTGTCTTAGAGAAGGGAGCTGACAATATGAGCGATCTACTTTTGCGATTAAGTTCTGTAGAATTACCAACAGCTGAAGATTGTGGTTTAGAGTTACTTTCATCCCGTTCATCACAGGTTTGTGCGATAGTTTTTTGTGCATAATTTTTTCCGGTAGACATTTTTTTTTCTTTAATGAGCGTGAATTTTAGAAAGGGGTTACATTTTATAATAAAAGTAAATTCCTTACAACATGCCACAAATGCAATGTGACTGAATGCGGTACTGTTTTATGCACTAGGTTATGAACCACACGTATCCTGTGAGGGCTTGTGGTACTATCCGGTTTCTCAGATCAAAGTGAGTAGAGCCAGGTATAATCTCGGTTTCTGTTGCTTGAATATCTATCAAAGAACGACTATTCTGCGCTGCAGTCCATTCTATCTTGTTCTGCGGCTGTGACATAGCCGTTAAAAGTAGAAGATATTAAGCGGCTACAAGTTTTTGATCATGGGTGTCTTCGTAGCATTGCTCGCGTTTGGTGGAATCACTGTGTGAGAAATGTTAAGGTCAGGCAACGGGTCTAGGCTAGGCAGGCAGATCGATTGATGAGGTTGTGAACCTTCATCGACCGAGATGGCTTGGACATGTCTTGCGCATGCTGAGCCACTACCTACCTCTACTTACCATGCTAGGAGGAGGTTGGACTAGGATGGAAGCGGGTTCATGTTGACCAGAGCAAGACATGGCACCAATGAGTGAGGTCCTTGACTGTTGGTCTGAGGTGTATGGAGGGGTGTAGCCTGCCAGACTGGGGTCTCCTAGATGTTAGGAATTATTGGTTGGGGAATCTTGGTAGCATAGCTGAAAATCGGTCACTGGCAATAATGTATTCACTCTTTGACATCTTTTAAAGCTTGAATATTTGCGCTGTCCGTTATCTTCAGATTGCTTATTCTTTCATGCAACTTTATCTTCTTCTATGTCATTCTTTTTCTATCCACCTATGCTTTGTATACTACTGTGGCAATTTGAATAGATGCACTTATGTGCAGAGTTCTATGTTGACTCTGTCTGTCTATTACTTGATAGTCAAATATGCTTGTCAGTAAGGCACATCTTCAAGAGCGATGTAATAACCTTGTATGACTGATGACATAATGTTACATGAGAATAGTCACAAGTAGGACAGTGACTATATGGTGGAAATCATCGAAGTGGTGTGGATGAAGCTTTTGTATATGGACACAGTTTACGCACTAATAACTTTCAAATAACAGACTACCTGTAGTATGTGTTTTGTTCTACTTTGATCTTGACAGTCAATATAACAGTATTGGAAAATCAACAAATATTTTATTACTAATCTGCTAAATGTTACTTTTACCGAAATCGGGCAAGTAATTCATCTCTGAAAGGAGGTAAAACAGAACAGTTGGGTTGTTTAATCAACAAAATGTGTTATAGCTACAGAGTAACAACCACTGATTCGGCTAAGCGTTATGCTAGTAGCAGGATAAAAAGAGGAGATAATACTATCAAGGTTATCTTAGTGGCTAATCATTCCAATCTAAAAGATAAAGACTAAATCTGATTACAATAATCGTATCAAAATCAGCCTAACTGACATATTGTCTGTGATTTTAATTCTCACAGTCATTCATCGTCTAACTGGTGCTCAGAAACTGTGAATCTAAGAGATTCTGATTCGTTAGAGACTATGGTTCTGGGTGCATCGACATGATCTCCTTTCTTAACTAGATCCAGTAACGAATACATTCTTACTGACACATAACTCAGTTAACTTTCTTTTTTAACTGAAGGTTATATCTGATCCTGTCAGTTAAACATTTTGTGGCATTGCCTGCGTGTGAAGAGAATGCTTATCAAGCATATAATATTAATCAACGCTCTCTACTCTTACTCACTCACTTGTTGAGAGTTGTCATGTATGTTGATAGCAGCGGCTAGTGTTCAGCAGAAGTTATCGCCATCCCTTTCAGATAAAACTTGTTACGCATTTACTGACAGAGATGATTATGCTTACCTCTGACTATTTAGGTATCTAACTTTAACAAGAAAGCATCTAGCCGACCTCGATTATGAAATCGATGTAGTCCTGTATGTTAAATATCCCATAGGATCTTTGCTTTTTTAAACGTCTTAATCAAAAGTTGAGTATGTTTGCAGTGCGTTTCATTCCTACTAAATGTAAGATAAAATGGTCCTAGCATGTTATGAAACCATAAATTGATTGTTTAAATTAGGTATAGGTTGTTAGGTAACGGGAGATAGGTTAGTCTTTGAGGTTGTAAAATTGCATAGAGGTGATCTGGACATGCAGTTCCTCAATCCAAGTAAACGTCTCTCCTGACATGCTGTGTTAGCTGCATTTGGATATGGTCAGAAGGAAAACTAAGCTTGATCAGACTAGGTTGTGACATCAATCCTTAGAGTGTTGGTGGTACTGAAAATCCGTGGTTAGAAAATTTCAATATGAATTAGAATCAATCACAGCACTGTAGATATATCTAATCTTTGCTTTCTTCAAGATTTTGATCCTTTTGTCAGTTTTCATGTATTGACTTTCTATGGTACTTTTCGTTTTTACTTCGATATCTTTCTACTTCTGTTTGCATGATGTTACAAAGTGTAATGAATTGTGCTTCCATGATCATCAATTCTTTGAATTCGGAATTAGATGTTTATATATCAATATCACCAAGCAGTTGTAATATCGGTATTCAATGTTCACTTACCATTTTATTGTTACTTTAAAGCTCAAAACTTTTCATGATTATTGTTTTTTGATTTTCTATCTGTTGTACTAAATCAGTGATTTCAAATGTAACTTGATTCATGTCTTAATTCATTAATTTTTCAATATATTTTCATGCTTACATGTATGTGTTATATTTCAATATTAAAACATTCAATTAGTTTAAATGTTTAATTGTGAGAAAACTGTTAATTTTTTAGTTGTAAGGTGAATTATGTGCAACCTATGGATTTATTGATTATGGGTGCTTTATAACACAACACTTTAATGTCAAGCAAAAATAAACATGAAATGTCTACATTATGTAGTGAATGTGTTTCTGGTTTTTGCACACTTCTACATACCTGCAATCACTAGTTGTACTAAGTTTTTAAACATACATATGAAGTTGAAAATATCTTCAACTTGACTTCTAAAGGTTGGGTGTTTACGTCCATTCGAATGTTGTAGACATAGTTACCAGACTATTATACGAATTTATCTATAAGTTCTCAGTTAAATTTCGCTTTATTTTGCTTATACATTGAAAATTAACCCTAAGAAAGGGAAATATACTACTAGAGGTCACTCAGGCTGATCTGTAGATTTCTCCAGCCAAATCACACCTTATGATCTCGGTTGAGCGGTTTACAGTGGAAACTCTATGGATACCACAGTCAGGCAGGTGAAAATCTACTTATCTGTAAGGAATGTCATTATGGACTTTGCAGTCTATAAATCGTTTGAAAGAAGTGATCATCGTATTGTGGAAGGGAAGTTGTTTTTCTAGTCAGTACGTTCAATATTGGTATTACTATGAAATATAATACATTGACTTTTATAGGCTATAAAATATCTCTAAAGGTTATTATACTCATATCATGGTATGATAATACGTATTTATATTCTGTAGTTAGGCATATTCTAAGGGCATTTTCAAGATAGCATACTAAATTTGTTTGTACTGTGTATGTGTACGTATATTAGAATTCTTTCTGTAGATTGATTGTTGATTTCAAGTGTCAATCAAATTAGAGTAATAACTATTATTACAAGATTACACTACTTAGTGTTTGGTTTACTTTCAGTTTTTTGACCAGCATATTCCTAATCTTTGTTCACTACAAACTGGTTATGGTGGTGGTGATTCCGATTTCAGTCAAACTGATTCTGGATTGAAACTGGAGAACGAGGACAGTGAAACATATATGACATATTTGAATAAGTCAGATTCAATCAGCAATTTCATATCAGGTGACATTGACTCAAGCACATCTTATTCAACATTTGAAAACTGAAGGAAATATAACAAAAGATTTTATTCACAAGTGGGTTGTCACTGATCCTATGAGATATAAATTTTTCTCATATAGATTAATGTCATTATCTTTTTCCCACCTTATTTTTTAAGTTGTCTTTCTTAAATCCTGAGCTAAATTTATCAGATCACAACTTTTGATTTCTCTTGAGATTTCAATAAAGACGTAGTGTAACTGGTTCTTCCTTATTCTTCATTTTACTCACTATTTGTGTTTTATTTTCTTTATCAGTCTGATGGTTTATTCCAGATCTGCAATGAAGTCATTTTAAGAATGCTTAAAAGACAAGACATTAGTTTTTTTTTTCAAAATGTAGTAAATATCTGATCATTCATCTCACATAGATTTTAATTTACAACTGACCAATCTCGATTTTATGTTTTTATAAAGACTGAAATATGTACGAAGAAAGTCGAGCAATGCTAGTTGTCAACTTTTTGAATTAAAGTGTTCTGATGACATATTACTATGTGATGAGTGTGTACTCTTAAATATTATAATGTCCAGCGTGATGCAATTCGCAATAACTTTCTTTGGCTTAATTTTGTAAAACCTTTTATGATCAGTTCATCACGAAGTTAACTGTTTCGTTTAAGATAACCTAAATTATTACAAACTGAAGGATATTCTCAGAAAAAAACTTCGAAAGGTGAGGTATTTACAATAAATGGGTGACATTATGTGGAGAGAAAGACACCTCACTGTTGTTTTTGTCTGGACTAAAAATAGTTGATTAAGAAACGATTTACATCAATTTCTTTTTTTGTCAGGTTATCTAATAGTCATGAATTCGAAGTGACTTATTACTAACGTAGGATTAGGTTTCAAGCCCATAAATTTGTTTTGACACAAGAAGTAGTTTAGTTCGCTTAATACAACCCCCTTTCTGACCTAAAATCAAAGATTATTAAAAATCAGGGACTTCTGAAATCTGTTTTCATGCAGCCAGCCTATGTGAATTTCTTCTATGTGGCTACGGTCACAGAAAACGCCAAAAATAATTTTAACGCATTGATTAACAGTCTTTGAAATAACTACGAACAGTAGTGAGAATAGGAAATATGCTCAAAGCGTCAACACTACCAAATAGTTGGTAGCTGTTTACCATCAATAAACAGACGACTCTTAAAGGTATTGTTTTGTAAGACATTCTTCAGAAAGAACTGGTTTTGGATAAATCAGAGCTGACGGCTATATGACTGTATGGGATCGTCATAGGAGAACCTTAGCTGTGCCCGTGCTGCACTTTAGTTTCTCGCTGGGTAGTTGTAACATGAATGAAAAACTGGTTGCTTCCTCAACTATTATCGAGGTTAAGAAGGTTTCAAAAAACTGAAACATGGGAGCAATAGGATCTGGTGGTTCATATTTGAATTTATCTATAGACGGTGAATAATAATTTCAGGTTAACTGGAGTAATTCAACAAATTATCTCTACGTCTCTCATCATTACAGCTTGAAATCGGAAAATTCTTTGACCGTTAAGTGATCATCTGGAGTAACAGGTTGTGTGGGATCTCAAAATTGATATTCGCTGTCAACATAATGGGAGCACCGGAAGATGCTTCTTGATATATGTCAAGTAGATCTATACTTTAATCTAGGTAGTGATGCATCAGTATTATTACTGTCTCTCGATAAGTGTCATTTTCCTTGACCTAAATGTGGGATTCGATTTGACTGTTCAAAAAAATGTGAGAGTCTTTAAGTAGACAAGTTTTTAAAGATTTTCTTTTGTCCTTTACAGTTCAACTTCTTAAACCCAGTTATTTAAAAGCTTACAAAAAGTGCTCATCGGTTTTAGAGACGACTAGTTTTGTGCTTTACTAATATCGGCTGTTAGTTTTAGTTTTGAACGTGCACATATAAATACTAATGATTGAGGATTTATTTGCGTCCGACTTTTCAGGAGCTCAACTATCTAGAAAGCTTGTCGTTAATATAGTGCACAGCGATAAAAAATTGCTTAAATAGTCTATCGTCTTCTAAACCTACCGAACAAAAATTTGAGAAAGTTTAGTGTGCCATCTATCTGTGGTACGTTAGATGAAGAATTGCAGTGACTTATACACCTAATGACTTCAGTTATGTTTATTAACTTAAACGTTACACCAAATCTAACTAATATATTTAAAAAGGTTTCTTTACAGTCTGTTAACTGTCACTCTCTTTGACTTGAATATGATGTTAAAATGTCTCCCATCTGACAAATATGTCGCTCATTAGTCAGCTCGGTTTTAGTCTACAACTTTGATAAATAGGTGCCCAAAGTGCACGTCTTGAAAGGGTTTTCATGTTATTGCCACTTATTGAAACCTGAAAAGTAAGTTGTGATGAGTTTAAACGTGATTTGCTAGGCAAGCATAATAAGTTTGCAGGACTGCACTAAGCCGGAACATAGCTTTCTCATGTCTTGTGATCTTATATATGGTATTCTTACAAAATGCTGCTACTTGAATGGGTTCTCATTTCTGTGTCCTGCTACCGCTTGTCTGAGCCTCATACGAAAATACACATGTATGGAGTGGTATACTTTGACTGAGGATACAAAAAGAACAACGCAATTGAAGATCGAAAAAAATTGTAGAAGATTAAGAAGTAGGCAGATATTCAGGATTTTGACCAAGATAAAAAGTGAGTACGCAAGCTCAGTGTAGGCGATGGCCAAAAATGAGTGTGAGAAACATTCAGACATTACTTCACAGTCATTGACAACGATGCTTCTTTGTTAAGTACAGTTAATGAGATAATTGATGATCAGTTATTAACACAAGCAGTTTAGCCTATAATCTTTATCACTGAAGACCAATCAAGTGAACTCTTCAAAGTGTATTTTTGGAGGTCGTGAGGATGTAGATGTCCATCCCCTAAATTCAACAGTGCCAAATTCTTCATCGATGTATATATATATATATATATATATATATATATATCATAAATTAAGGTTATGATAATGACATCTTCCTCCATAGCATTTTGTGTTATTTTCAAGTTAATGTCATATAAAACAGGTATTTCAGCAGTATACTCTCTCGAAATCAAGGTGCAGGACATATTACTAACTACATATGATATTTTTGTTCCCTTTCCACTACTATTAAGTATTTTATCAATCTTTTGGAAGATATCGTTATTTCAGTGAGTATGTCTGTGTTGTAACATAGACAATGGGCACCATTGGTTCTTAGATTACTGTTGTTTGATCCTCGCTTGCATCGTGAGTAACTGTTACTTCTAGAGTGCTTCTTTACAACGAGGACATAAAGTGTAAGAAGCTAAGATATCTAGTTAGGCTGTTTTTACTCATATTGCCAAAGAACATGCTTATTGTGGCTCGAACTTCACATATGTGATTCCGTGTTGAGCAGCTAATACGTTTTTAGTATCTTTGGTTTCAGACTCGTGTTAATCAATACAAATTACCAAACTGAATTAATAAGTTTCATGAGAATATTTTACAAGTCAATTTTAGCTGAGAATATACGCTTTTAATTTAAAATTAAAAGTCTTACATCCATCTATGTTTTTGATTTGGACATATTCTACGTTGCTGTCTCATTCACTAGTTTATATTTTACACTTGTAATTGTTTTGGTTGGTCATTTGTTTCATAACCAGCACTAACTGTAGATTGATTATTATTTTTTTGATCGCTCCCAGGATGATTGAGCCACTTATTTCGCCTATATACCTCAGTGTCGTCTCCCGCAGGGCGTCCAGAAACTTTACATGAATTGGTTTGGTGTTCATTGCTTGTGTCTTTGTTAAGAAAACTGCTAGCTGATGGGTTGCTCTGAATTGGACCAGATATCATTTGGTTTGGACCAACTTTGAATACAATAGTGTATGGACTGTTTTTGATGTGTTCGCCTAAGTACAACACATTAACTGTATGTGGCGCTATAAGTGTAATCGGGAAGCTAAGGCTATATGTCCCGTTTTTATTGTCAAGAAGGTAGGCACATACATTTTGAAGATGCTCATCATCTTTAGTTACTGAGTATGTTATAAACTTGCGAGCGGCTTCACAATGCTTTCTAGATATTCTGAAGTCTATGTGGAATAACTGACCAAGTTTTATCTTTGGTAGTTTGCTAGGTAAAATTTCAGCAAAAACTATATCAGATAACCTTTCGAGTGTACCAACCTCAGACTTTTGTATTCGTTCGAAATTCAATTTTCCGACGAATTTTAGAGGTATGTAGTTACCTACAAATTCTGTTAGGTATTCTAAATCTTGATTGATAGAGAATATGCAGCTATGAACTTGATACACCAAGTCGGAGTTGGAAGCATATCCTAAAGTGAGAACTTTTGCAGATCTTTCTCGAAGTTCTTTAAGCTTTTCTATTCCGGACTGGATTCTGACTGCATATGTTCGAAATTCTGTGTCCAAATCTGACATACTTTTTTGAATATCCTTAAACTTTAGAAGTCTTAGGCAATTTAGACCTACCTGTATGAATATGGACCTCCATCTTTCTAGTTGTTTCGTTACAGATGCAAAGTAGAGACCTAATTCGTCCACTGTATCTTCGTAAGTATGTGAAATCTCTCTCAATTCTTCTTCTTTTTTGATAACTATTTCTCCCGCACTTGTAACTTTTTCATCAGCCAATCGAACAACTTCCTCCAAAGCTTTTTTTAAGTAATGTTGTTCCATTTTATCATCCAGCAAATATAGTTTCGTTTCATATATGAATTTAGCAGAACGAGTCACGGAAATGTGTTCCGAATTCGAGTTGTTGGGCTTATCAGGTCAAAATGGATAAACAAACAGTGAAAACTTCTGTTGCAGACGGAATATCAGTCTTCCTTCGGAGAAATATATTAGGCTGATAGTTAGAGTTGGAAGTTAATATTTTATTTAGTTTTGCCAAGTGTGACATAAGACACTCAGGTATGCTTCAAATCTCTTTATGCAATATACTTTTACGAGCTTGTGCAAACCTATTGATTTATATGCACTAGTTTTTAGATCTTGCGGGACAGTTCCAGGTCCGTGGTGAATTCCGGTGCAATATGTTTATACACTCGCCTGATGTAGCTGACGGGCGGTTGGGTGTTAATTAAATTCGTAGGCATATTATGATTTGTCTAAAGACTGAAGTTCACACGAGTTCATCAATTGCGGAAGCTGTTCAGACTGGCTTTAAAAAGTGGATAGTAAGAAGGGAAGAGTGCCTGGCTAAATCAAGAGGGAAGAAGCACAACGACAAGGTGAAAAGAAGCGTAGTGGAGAGAAATGAGTAACCGAGGTGGATTCAGAGAAGATAACGGTGACGGAGAACCTCGATAAGCCAGGTCATAGGGTCGGAGGGGAAGAGAAGGGAAATGTAAGATTGTTGCATGGATTATGGGAATAAAAATGTTAATATTATTAGTGGGGGATGGTAACTGGGGGTGGGGGGGTGCGTAACTGGTAAGTAGAAGGTCAAGCCAAACTCACCATGATTGTGTAGAGACAAAAGATTCGGCATACGGCTGGCTGTGCTGGATTGTATGGACTAGGTTGGTTGTATCTAACTAGTCCATATCCCAACTGGATAGGTACTAACCGTGCGTCAAAGCGTAGCTGCTCAGTCTCTCCTTTAGCTGCCAAAAGACGGAGTAGCAGCAATCTCGGCGGGCAGTACTTTCCAGTGACCTCAGACCCACAGAAATAAAAGGTGTGAACACACGGTTTCACACCTTTTGACTGACTATCCCTCCTGGGCTATCAGGAGGGTTGCCATTAGAGGTCATTTGGTAAGATTCCACTGTTCAGATGGTCCACTTTGTTGAGTGTTTTTGAGCCGTTATCGGGCCGCCACGCCACCTAGAGTAACTAAAAAAGTAAAGCCCTAGGTCTTCCAACCCGTTCTCATGGGGTTTTGGCCGCATTCACAAACCACACTTTGTAGCTCACCTCTGGGTTCCAGGAGGTCCACACCTATTACCAAGTTCGGCTGCGCAACGACGTCGCGGACCTCAAGGTATAATCTTACACAGGTCTTGTCCAGCTTTAGGAAGAGTTCCGGCGTGCTGGGGTATTTTGTAATCTGCGCATGAGGCTCACTACAGTGTGGAACCGCGAAGCATCTCCTGGGCATTCGGACCAGATGTCCATCCCGCCCGCCAATATTAGTCAGTGTTTTTTCCCCGTGGCATGTAGGAGGTTGTGTACCTCCAGAAAGGATAAGCTCTGCAGGTCGGAGGTGCCGAAAAACACAGCTCGGTATTTGTTCAGAATAAATGCTCGCACGTCGCTGCTCTCTGACTGTGCAGGCAATCTTAGATCCCTTTGCAACGCATTTATTTCTGTTTTGGACGTGATAGCTATCCATCACTTAACGTCATTTGTGTGAAGTAGAAACAGAGAGGTCACTCACATGAAAAAGGAACAGCAGCGGGTCTAGAATCGCTCCTCTTGATACACCAGGTGACAATGTTCCCCAGGCCAAGCAAACCTGTTGATTTTAGCGCAGACTCCTGCGGCGTCTGAATAGTCCTCAAGACAGGATAGCGTCTGACCGCGGATACCCAACATTGATATTTTGCAGGTAAGGGTGGAGTATGAAGCTGTGTCAAGGTCTTGGCAAAATCCAGCCATATCACTTGAACGGGGGATTGGGGTTGTCAGCACGCCGTCCAGTATGGTAACGGTGATGTAAGTCGGCAGCGTTCCGGGTTCTGCCCGTCTCTTCTCATGAAGAATTCCGGGAGCATGTGCTGCGAAGGCCAAGTTTTCGTTGGGATACCATCGGAGCATGGTATGAACACAGAGATCGTGGTTTCACCAACTCACCCCTGGGTCTCTTCACACCTCCACGGAGACACATGAAGGTGCTCCTAACAACATGTGGCGTCTCAGTGGTGGCGGGCTGTAGAGGGTTGTAAGCATTAGTGAAAGCTGCTTTCTGCCGACCAGTTAGGCCAATTCACGTTTTTCTTCACAGTAGTTTCTAGGGCTATTACCAGGTAACTGTCGGTTTGGATTTTGTCTAGCACGCTTACAGTAATGGTGACCTCCGTATAAAGAGGGGTCGTCATCTGTTGTCGTTGCAGTGCTCTGGGACTGCTTTCACAACAGCGAGTATTCCCTCTGATGTTGTCCCTAAGTGTGCACCATGCTTGCAGTACTCTGGTTTAAATCTCTGGGCATCCGAAGTTGATGGACATCAGTTTGGGCGATGCCATTCATGTCAGTAGTGGAGAACGTGTGGGCATGCAGAATACCTCCATCGCCACTCTATTTAGTACCATTCGTACGGAAAACCACTGCCGATGTTGCATATTATGGGCACACTTTTCTACAAATATATTAGGTGTGAGCTCCGGTGTACCGTGGAAAACCATCAGAACTTCCCTTAGAATCTAACTGGACTGGCTAAGATGCTTTCTTTTTAACCATGATAAAATAGAAAAAGTTAGCCCAACTTTGTCGAAGCCTAAAACAGCAATTAGCGGAGTCGTCCAGAGCAGTGTCCTCGGTTCACCCCTCTTCATAATATGCGAACATGGCTTTGGTGAGTGCTGCGAGGTGGACAAACAATTTTTTATATGCAAACGGCCTGAAGGCAATGTATAGAAGCTTCAGTGGCGAGTCGGCCCTGCATAATCCGTAACTTTCGCCTGAAAGACACCAATGTCACTGCTCTTGAAATCTCGTCTACGGCCGCTATCAGGATGCTTTCCGTTTGTAAAGAGTGGCATCCGCATTAATGACGAACTCAAAATCGGGGGTGTCCAAATGTATTTTACAGCTATGTTACTAGGACACGACTGTATGCAAGGCTACAATTTTAGATGAGGAGCCCTTAGTTTAGAACCAATTTGAATGAAACGGCTCGAAATTGACCTGATACCCTTCTTTAATGAGCTACACAAATTCACAGTTGTGAGTTTCAGTTCGAACGTGACAGTTATTAAGAACTGTGGAACCACGCATACAGCGCCACAATGAACACGTTTAGATCCTGCTTGCATGCAAATTTCCTCACTGTAGATTTCTCTCAGATTTGGAACTAACTGCGCGTTATAGTAATAATAATAATAATAATGTATTTCGCACAATATAGGTTACATGAAAAATAACCAGTTTACAGGTTTGATCATTTTGGTAATGTGAACTGACCGTTACGTACAATATGAAGCCATACAATGGACACTGTTCTTTTCAGTACATAAAAGATGCGTCTAGAGCAAGAACGTCAATGCTTTGCGGACAGAAAAGAATGAAACCAGCATAGCTGTTCATCATAGCGGTGCAAGTTCAGTTCGAAAGTAGGAAATATTTGGCTATTGTTTGAATCTTCCAATATTCTTGAAGGTAGGGCGGGTAGTACAGCTGTGACCCTGGGCTTTGTGCGTTAGTCATAAGATGGCATAGTGACGCTGACCACTCAGACTGCTAGGATTTCATATAAATGAAGGGCTGGTTGGGTAAACCTAAAACTGGGTAAAAAAAGCGAGCGGCAGACGAAATTCGAACTGGAGCACAGAAATACCACGCAGAAGTACATCGACTGTGACACATGCAAGTGAGTTCGTTGTACTGACCGTGAAAGTTACCTGAAAAGGTATCCAAAACCTACTGTTTATAGGTAAGCTTATGGGGAAGAAGATGAAGGCTCACACAAAAGTAGTGGAAACTAAACTGAAGTCGAAGATATCACTATGGAATAGAGAGAACAGGAGATTTGGACTAGGTATTTGCTCATGTGTTGAAAACCTACTTACAAAAGTTTAGTGGAGTTATAATTATTTAAATAGAACTGATGCTTTTTGCTGCAATGGTGACCACACTTTATATAGTCATGGGGGAGGGATGGTCATGGTGTTGCCTGTTAATTGTTACCATATCAGGACTATGGTGGTGCATAGTGAGCTGAGTTAGTGGACCTAGAGGACTTTTCTTCGTTACCCTAATTCTTTTTACTATTATTTTGTCGTCACAAGTACAAGAGCAGTAGGCTTCATAAAGATACCGCCATAGAGGCAAGGAAAGTTGAAGTTTATCTCCCTACCATCATGCTTCTTGGTCAGTTATCCGCATCTCCGCATATTTCCACGTTATTTTTTGATATTTTTGTGCTACGCTTAATAGAGTTGATGGTGACGCCGATATTTTCAGTTTGCTGTCAGCTGGTTAAGACCGTGCATACATTATTGACTCAGTCGTCCCTTGCTACGTACCACACGTCAGGCAACACTTATAACCATTATACCTCTACTCATGCAATAGCCAAGCTTGATCTATCATGCAAAACTGACTTGTACTACTGTACAGCACAAAGACTCCTAGCTTACTACAAAGAAAATAGGGAACTTTGGGTGGAATGTTTAGTTGTAGGAGTGGTTAAGAGTAGCTGAACTATGGCAGCACTGAGATTAGGAACAGTAACTAGCATCAAAAGAGATTACCACAAATTTGAAACGAAGGTGTCCAAGTCAATTTAGATACTGCCTGTAGAAATGGCATATGCCCGTATAATTCATTATTCGAAATCTATTGTTATTATTAACCCCTGAATTTAGTTCGTTACTGATTAAATACTTATCATCCGGCGACCTATCCGGCTTAGTGAGTGAACTATCACTGCCCTGTATGACACTCCACATAACACGGCCTCCTAGTGTCTTGTGAGCCGTCTACCATACCAGCACCGACCATTCGGTTAAGGCGTTGAGGATACCTCCATAATTTCTCACTTCACATCAATGGGACACTAACCTCCACCCTGCACAGTAAATTTAAATGAAGGTCTCAAACTATGTAATTGCGTGAAATTAGTGTTCTTGAGCGTTTAATAGACAACGCCTA